AACCAAAGGTGTGATGACAAGTTGAAAAAAAACCCTAAAACAAAATAAAAGACATTCACATTTATTTATTTAATAGTAATGTGGAGGATGAAAATTTAGAATCAATTGTATGACATCAATTATGCCATTAAATAAATTGATGTATATAATATTTCGAATTTCAGAAAAATAAAAAAAATTAATCATTAAGTAATATAAAATTTATTTTTTAATATTTTAAATGACGTAACTTACATTGTGTCATTAATTCCAAAGTTTGATCCCATTTATTATCATCCATTCACTTTACATTATAAATTTTTTGCTTTGTGACTGGGAGAATTAGACAAGAGAAAAAAAAAATCAGACAAAACTCTTGATTTGCGTTTTTTGTTTTTAAGAAAAAGGCAACTTTTGATTTGACTTGCAAGTGCCAGAGAAGATAAATTTAGTGAAAATTGTAATTCGGGAAATGAAATTGAGATTCGCATCCATCAAAATCAGAATCATATGCTTTAGTTATGGTATATAAAAGGTGCTTAAGCATAGATATTCTCATAAATAAAACCTATATTTACTTGAAGTATGCAGTAACCACGAAATGAAATTCATCGTTGATTCATTATAACCGAAAATATATATTTATTCAAAATAGCTGTTAAAGAATGAAGAAAAATTCTCGTGCCATTAAATTTTATCAAAGAAAATTGATGGGTATAACATAAACTACAAAAGAAAATTAAGGTCATGTAAAGACACTATGTCAAGGCACTAACGTACCATTAGAGCAACATTTATGTGAAATTAGAGTAAAACCAATGTCTTTTAGTATCTTTGTACTTTACAGTTAATTATTCTTCCCAAATTTGTTGACTTTGTTAGCCTAAATATTTAAAGTTGAAACAATAATATTCAAGAAACTTGATACTTAGAGTGCTAATTAAGAAAACAGATCGCTCAAGAAAAGAGAGTTGTAAAAATTGAAAATGACTAGTTGAGTAAACGTTACTACTTACCAAGATACAATAACGGCTGTCCAAGGATTATGGGTACTGAATCCATTATGGGTGACCTCACCATTCCCACTACAATGGGTAATACTTAGGATTCAGAAACAATATTGAGATTCATAGCTATAATAATGAACGTATGATGATTATATATATATATAGAGGATAGCTCTATATATTCACTTATTTTAAAATTTAAATTTAAAATTTTTAAATTCTTAATTATTGAAAATTTTTTTTAAGGGATTGTTTTCTATAATCAATAGCCAAGAGATTTAAACCATATATTTATAAATAAAAAAGAACTTAATTCAAATCTTTATAAAACAAAAACAAGAACATTGACGCTTATTAACTTTAAATCATATATGTGCTTCTTGATTCAAAAGGTTTTTGTTTTGTTTTTCTTTAAAAAAAAAAAACGTTTATTTGGTTAACTTCCTACAAATAAGAATCGAGATATATAGAACCAAAACGAAGAACAAAGAAAAAGAGAAGAGGCAATAATTGATTGATTTTATTGCTTAATTACCTAGAAAGAATAAAGTCTCCACAATAAATATGCCTTGATCTTTCCCATATAGTGACCCTGCAATGAATGTTATAAGCCAAAATGATTACCTTCTAATTCAAAGTACAAGAACCAATAATGAACATTAGAGAAATTAATATACCTTCCA